ATATACCATAATTCACATTCTGTGATCATGGAGGAAGTAGTAACAAGCATCTGTTTAATCTTTGATTGATATTTTTCAATTAATCTCTCTAATCATTAATTGAGATAATTTATCTAGAAATGTTATCGTTGATTATATGATATATGTCTTAAATTAATGTTTGCATTTATTAATAACACCTATATATAATTTACCTCTACTCCACCGAGGGTTTCTCGAAGCAAGATTCGAACTCATGATCCCGGATTGCCAGCCGCTTCTGTTTCCATCTGCTCTATTCTCTTGAATACATATTTTGATCATATGAGAGAAGTATATGAAGCTCATCTTGAGTGACTTTTCTTGCAGTCGAATAATCATTGCCTTATGGTCATATAAACGTGCCTATCGTTTGTGCTATTTTTAGCAACAAAATTGTGGTTGGTGGTTGGTCGAACGTAAACAATCATTTAAGAGTGCTCCAAGCAGCTTTTGAAGCTTTTAACCAAATGGCAATACAACTACATTCTTGTACAACTCTGGAAGCTATTATTCAATGTTTGATCAACTCAGGTGTTTTATAAGAGCTTCCAATGGTTTGTTTTGATGCGTTTATTCCACGTTCTATATAGCTCTTGTCAATCGGTTTAACTAAGGTGCTATAAAAGTTATCGTAGGTCTTATAAAGCATATAGTTAAACCGAACTTTAACAATCATTTAAGAGTGCTCCAAGCAGCTTTTGAAGCGACAACTACATTCTTGTACAACTCTGGAAGCTATTATACAACGTTTGATCAACTCAGGTGTTTTATAAGAGCTCCCAATTGTTTGTTGGGATTGTCTTCCCTAGAAACTCTTCCTTTCATGTATTTTGTCTTTGATGCGTTGATGGCAAGTCCCATCCGCCTAGCTTCAGCCTTCAGTCTGATGTACGTTTCCGCCATCGTCTCGTTCCATGATGTCAATGTCATCGGCGAAGCCAAGAAGCTGGATGGACTTCCTGAAGATCGTGCCACTCGTGTCTATCCCAGCTCTTCTGATCACACCTTCTAACGCGATGTTGAATAGCAGACACCTTGCCGTAACCCCCTTCGAGATTCAAAGGGACTCGAGAGTGTCCCCGATACTCGAACAACGCACATCACTCGATCCATCGTCGCCTTGACCAATCGCGTCAGTTTATCCGGAAATCCGTACTCGTGCATAATCTGCCATAGCTGATCTCGATCGATTGTGTTGTATGCGGATTTGAAATCGATGAACAAATTATGTTTGGGCACGTTGTATTCGCGGCATTTCTGCAGAACCTGCCGAATCGCGAAAATTTGGTCCGTGGTAGCGCGGGCACCCATGAATCCCGCATGGTATTGCCCCACGAACTATCTTGCAAATGGTGACAAGCGGCGGCATAGAAATAATGTAGGTATATAGGGGAAATGTCTCTAATGTTGGCCTATGGATCTAAAATTGGGCTATTTACCAATTTTATTGGGACGTTACTAATGAATATTTTTGGTTGCTATTGAAAATTTCTAGATAGAGCTGGAATTAGGGCGTAACAGCCTTTGTAAACAATGACTTCTCATGTTGATTTCTCGGAATTCAAGGCACGCCTACACAAACCAACATATCCATCGGGTAGGAGAAGTCTTCCTCTACTCGATGGTGATGTCGATTTACTAGGGAGAGCCATGATTTCCGAAAAATCATCGAGAGAAGTCATTGTTTACAAAAGCTGTTACGCCCTAATTCCAGCTCTATCTAGATTTAGTCGATTGCTGAATTTATGTATAGGCCCAAATTAGGGACACTTAGGCCGACATTACCTGCATTTCCCCTATATATCATTTTCCAGGTTGCTTTCAAGAACTAGCTGTGTTGGTGTTAGATTAGATTAGGTAAGATTGGATAACTACAGTGCACGATGCATTTTAAAGCACGTGTAAGCCACAACTACCAAACGCAGAAAACTGGATACTTTTCAGAAAGAATTCCTAGATTATTCAGAATACAAGAACTGTGAATAAATTATGGGATGAATCTGTGAACACTTCCAACGAAGAAGAAAACCTCAAAACTTCTGGATTTAAAAAATCTTCAAGGTTTTGAGAAACGAAATGTTTTTCGACATTCTGAAACTGAGATAATGATTAAATTTGTATATTGAAAAAAAAATCATTTGAAATAAACAGTTGTCAAGATTCTAGGACACACAAAAATCATTTGCGATGCCGGCTTTCAATATATGTTAAAGATGGCAAACTTTCAAAATAATAAAGGTTTTGAGAATTCGAAATTTTATGGATTCTGACACTTAATAAAAACGCTTTTACGTGTTTTCGTACACATAAAATATGACTAGTTTTTGCACTTCAATAGGATAATATTGTTATTTGTTATTGTTATTGTGTCATGCTGGAGGGGGCATTGAGCCTGGTCGCCAGTGTAATTTTGGTGACCAATTATACACCTTCCAAGCAGCAATCAGATAATCTAGTTATGATTATTGTCAATAATACTTACATTTCGATAAAGATGATGCTGCCTACTTTACCTGTTATGTGATACTTATCATCACAGAGTCCAACCTTGAATCGCAGACCAGGTCCACTAACAAAACACTCGTTCCGAGAAGGGGTTTATGGTCTTCTTCTTCTTCTTCAGGTTCGCTCACCACCCGGAATGAAGGCTCGGTGCGGTTAGTAATATCAAACAGTGTTACATGCAAACGAAAAAACGAAAAAGAGATACAACCAGGATTAGTTTTTTAAAGTAATAGTTTCATCTGAATACCCAACTAACCATATCTCAGTGACATTGTACCACTCTGAACCCACACCTAAGGCTATTTTGTGATTATATGGTTACTTTGGTATTCACATGAAATGTTGTGCAAGTACCAGAAGTTCAACAACGCCCAACTATGGACAGCTCAATGTTAATACCATTTACTCTTTGAATCAGCTTACACCAACATGATAGTCTACTAAGAAACATCTAAGAATGTATAGATATAAAGTTCAAAAATACAGTTTTAACTGATGGTACTTTATAAACGTCAAACTGTCCAATATTGGACCCTGCCAACACACGGCGCCTGCACGGCAATGTGGGCCGTCAGAATGGTTCATCGGTTGCGAAGTGAAGTGCTTCTTAAACTGAAGCGATACATTTCTCAATGTTTCAACGTTATCCTAACTTAAACTTAATATTATCACCCATATGCCAGTCCACGCCCGAAACCCATCCACCACACAAAATCAAATAAAAATGTTTCTGTATGGCAAACACGTCCAGACATAGACGAGAATATGGGTGTATATCTTCACTGTAACTGTTGTGAATGCGATAAATTAGCAATAATTGAAGAACGTTCTCGAATCACCCAAGACGATGCAAAGAAGTAAAATTTCAAAGTCAAATATAAACAGCTGTTCGCAGTGTTCACTCGGCTGTCGACAAAAGCAGGCCACTCTCGATGTGTGCTACGCGATCGTCTGTTTTCTCGGCAGCAACCATTGTGTGGTCCTCCTCATTGTTCTTCTTCAGCAGTTCTTTCGGTCGATGCGTCGTCGACTTTGGAAAGCAACCGTTTCGTGATGAGTGTGTGAGTGCTGACCACGTTTTGCGTCCATTGTTGCAATGGACGCGCTCTGACCCTCGTTGGCGTACAACTATTTGCCATACAATGAAACTACTGGAAGCGGCTCCAGTTCTGATGGAGGAGGCTTTTTGGATAGCGGAAGATAAAGTGTTTATTGTGTTGTACCTTTTGACTATAGTTTTAAGATGTATTGTAAAGTGACCAAGAATCCTCGGCTCTGTAAAGTTAGTTCGGTTGAGCCTTATCAAATAAATTAATAAGCAAAAAAAAAAAAAACAGCTGTTCTGTTTCATCATCCCTTCGCTTAGTCAGGTTCAATGAACACGAGAGCAACGAAAATGACACAATATTATAGGTCAATTCTATGTAATAAGAGAACGCATATGCGGTACACTCTCGTTTGCTCAGTAGGATGTACCCAACGGGTGCATGCAGCATAAAACAAAGCAATAAACTCAGCATAGGGAAATTATACGCTTTCACCAGTTTAGCTTTGGTATAGGCGCTGCGTAGGAGTCAAGTGCATCCTAGACGTATGTATACATGTGAGATTATTCTGGAAGGATTGCGTTGGTCCCAAAATGCATCACATGATCTTGAAGGAGAACGATGGATAAGTTTAGATCAGGAATACTTTTTGTCTCTTTCGTTCTTATCAACATTGCGTTAGGAAGATCTTAGCAGGAGACAAATCTTTCTAGGCTTAAACCCCTATATAAGGCAAATTTTCAACTTAATAAACTGAATGTTTTCGTTAGTCTTAAAACGTCTGTCGATCTGTTAAGATCCGAATTCCTTCCAGCCAGTACCTTCATCAGGTTTTAAACTAAGATTACTGATGAGACCAGAATCTCTAATTTAGTGAGAAGTTCAGTCCTCAGTTACAATCAAAGTCCAAACACCTGATGCTAAAGGCACTCCTTTTCTTTCTATCAAAATCTGAACCACGCTATTGTAACAGTCTATTAATTTAGTACAGTAACTGTCTTAGCGTCTTGAACAGTTTTTTGATAGAATCGAGAAAAAAAGGCACTCGCTCCAGCAGTCCCGGCAGGGCAACGGCGTACCATCCAAACCGTTCGGCGTGGTAAGTAAACCTTCGCGTGATTAAACAATGCTCGGGACAGCTTGTTTTAACTCCTCTGCCATCCGTGCCGAACAGTAACAACTACGGGTAATCATCAAAAATACTTGCATTTTACTCAGGCACTTTTGAGCAAACTGCAATCACTCTCTTATACTCGAAATGTGCCACGACCAAATTGGCACAACGACGCCCTATACGACGACCAAAGCGCAGGGTACTTCAATAGGATAAAATTTGACACATTTCTTTATGACAAAATATACACGAAAATAATGCAAAATTTTACAAAAATGACTTTCGGATAATTGAAAAGTAGCTGGATTTAAATTCGCTAAATTTATTGACTAATGTAACGCTTTCGGTAATTCTCCACGAATCTTTCGACTTACAACTAAACAACACAAAATGAAACAAAATAAATTAAAAGTATTCTTACTCAAAACGGCAGAAGAGAAATGGTGCGCTAGCCACAAGGCGTGATCCCACAGTACCGCTAATAGCTAGTACCTACAAACTCATACGACAGAAGACACTTCGTTCTTTTATCAGTTGCCTAGACTTTGGAGTGATGCAGTGTTTTTCCTCCTGATAACTTATATGTAATTAGCACTTTCATGCTGGTGGCGATTTCATTCGGTTACATCACGGCACGATTGAAGCACATTTCTCTTAAAACTAAACCTACAGACTAACGATGGGACTCAATGCAGCAATTTCAAGGGCTGTTCCAATTCAAGGCATTAGACAAAAAGACAATGTACGTTTCGCTGATAAAGTGATAAGATATATAGCATTTGCTCTGATGGGCAGTTTGTCGGAGAAATCAATGCTTAAATACGTCTTAAATGCTTACGAATGGATTATTCACAGCGAGTGGTGCTGCAGTAGCAGAAGCAGCAAATTGCGATTTAGTTCTTTTTCTTTTGACTGGCCGCGATCGCCTTGACGGGCTTGATAGGGTTTTCCTTACATTCCTTGTAGAGGTTGTTCAAATCGAAGGCAGCTTTCACATTATCGGCGGAGAAGAAAAACTTTACGAGCTTACCCTTGGCATCGGCATACGGTCTGCGGGCCACTTCCTGTCCATTTCGGAACAACACCACCGATGGAAGCTGTCGGCTGAACGAACTGTCCGAGACGTGATACTTCTTGCCAATGTTCGGGAAGCGTCCGATATCCACTTTGCCGAATTTCAAATTGGGCAAGTTATAATCTGCAGACAGCTCAGCGAAGATTGGAGCAAAGTTGACACAAGCCGGATTCCACACTGTGTAGAAGGTGACCAACCAGCAGACACGCTTTTCCTTTTCCATCTCGTCCTCGAGACCATTCTCCATCCGGAAGTAGACGACATTCTCCGGTCCGGAGTAGGTAGGTTCCGGAACAAGCAGCGCCACCAGAATGAAGAGCACTCCATAGATCAATCCCAGGCGGATGTCACTGTAGAACCACAGGCCAAGGTTGGCAAGCTTCGTATACATAAAACTGGACGTCAAATAGTTGATCATGGTTACACTTCCCGTTTTCCTCGACCGGATCATGACCACTATCAGCAGGAAAAATAAAATTTCCGTCTCGCGTCCATCCAGTTCACACTGATCCTCCTGGTTGAACAGATATGTCCATAAATAGTTACAAATCATGGGCGCTCGTTTGGCCGCGATATACGAAATGCTCATCAGAATATTGACCCAATAGTAGGGCTTGATGAGCAGGATCAGATCCTTTTTGAACGTCATTATAGCCGATGATGACGGAGTATTATTTACGTGGGCGACGCCTTTTCTTCTAGCAGTATCACAATCACCGTCCCCGAAGCTAGTGTTATTTAACAGACACTAATTTTGACCTCAATTAATGACTTCCTTAGCACGATGAGACACACTTAGCATTTGAAGAAGCACGGCACTTGTGCACCTGTCGAAAAAACGCTGCGACTGAGTGAAGTTTATTCTGAATCTGATGGATAATCTAGCAGCTTTTGGGTTGTAAAGGGGGTTGAATCTTGTGCGGCAGTGGTGGGTGGTGGGTGGATGGTTACCAAAAATGACAGCTGTGTCAGAATGGTTTCTTGAATAAGATCTAAACGGTATCCGCTCGTTATCCGTTCCGGGATTTTGAAAATTTTACTCGTATTGCTACTGTGCTACCTGGATAAGAGCAACCGTAACGGTACACTGCTAAACTCATTTTAGCAACCCTCATCATAGCGCAGAGAAAAACCTCAAAGAAGTCTACACGGTAAGAAAAAAGTACCCAACGTCCAGTTTACTTTTACCTACTTTTGACTAGTTTGTCTCCTTTTCTCCTTCTAATGTTGTCAAAAACGGAGGAGCAAAACCACCCAACAGGGGTAGTAAAGTGTTGGAACCCTACGTTGAGTATAATCATATTTACCTACTGTTGGGTACAACTAACTTACTTTTGGCTAACAAGCCAGTGGAAAATTCCATACGAACTGCACACAAGTAAATGAAAATTACTTTGACCCACTTTACCTACTTTTGGGTTCCTGCACTATAGTGCCGAGATGAGTGAAAAGAACTTAATTTTGGGTACTTTTTTCTAACCGTGTATATCAGGCATAACATTTGATAACGGCACAAAAGCAGTTGTAAACAAACTTTCTAAGGCCCTTTACACGCGAACCAAAGTACGCCCACGCAAACCAATACCACTTTTGGAAAGGTGATAGTTGCCTCCTGAGTACTGCGAACTAACTCAAAAAAAGTAGAAGGGTCTGTGCCTAGGGGCACGAACGGAAGCTTGACGTAGGACCGCTAGTGGACGGAATAAATGTGAAGAGCATTTAGTTCTTTTAATTGATCGATGAACATTTCAAATGGTCCTATCTGCTTTGATCGATTCTCTTCATCGACTTTCTCTTTTCATAACCACTGCTATGCAAACAGATTTTGCGCTAATTCTACCGCATAGTTTGATAAAGGAAGTTCTTATCTAGCGTCCAAAACGTCAAATAAAACAGGAAAAGGTTTTGCAGCTGAGCTATTGACGAAAGAGAAGATGAAGACAATCGATCAATGCAGATAGGACCTTTTGAAATGTTTATCGAGAATTATCTATTACCTCAACTTTTTCCGTTTTTGAATTGTAGGCGTACCAAATTTGTAGTAATTTTTTTCAAAGAGAAAGTTGATTAAGAGAATCAATCAAAATCACTTGCACCCCTGCTTCCAAGTTTGGTTACAAGATTACAACTCTCGAGAGCATTTTGTGTGGTCGTTGGAGGCATGTGATTCTGAATATGGACCAACAGGCAGATGAAATCTATTCTAACTTTTTACTGTAATAATCGAAAATGAGCTAATTCCATACAGCAGCGCTCTTTTATATCTTTTCAGGTTAAAGCAGAATGATGTGCAACCAAGTGGTATAAAAGCTACAAATACTCCTCCCATTATGAGTAGTTTTCTATCAAGTAGCGACACTGGCTCTTTTCCTTTTGCGTACACGGCGAATAAGAACGACCCAAATTTGAGATTAGTTCACTCATAATCGCCAAAAGTGCAGAAACTCAGCGATGAGTAAATTTGTCTCATGGTTTCCTGTGGAAAACCAAAAAAATCTGCCAGAAAATTAGGAAATTGACGAAAATTTTATTCAGTCTCGGAGTAGTACCCATAGACTGAGTGAATCCAATCCGTACTTTTCTCAAATTCGGAAATTTTTCCCTGGAAAAAACCTGAAAAAAAACACGAGGCAAATTTACTCATCGCTGAGTTCCTGCACTTTATTTCTTATTTTTGAGATAACTAAACTCAAATTTGGGTCGTTCTCATTCGCCGTGATATCACCTTGAAAGATATCGGCGCCGGTGGTTAGCGTGATTACCTCTAATCCCAGCAAGACTGGGTTCAATCTCAGTCGCACCGGCATGTTCTGAGGCATAACATATCTGATCCCACCTTCCTTCGGGAAGTAAAGCCGTTGGTCCCCTGTTCATGAGTTGATGGGTCGATGTGTAGGGTCCAGGTGTGGGAGCTGCCTCCCTGGCGTCGGTAGCATTGGAGCTCAGTACGGAAAACACTCAATAGGTCCTATCTACATTGATCGATTCTCTTCATCGACACTCTCTTTCGTAAATAACTCGGCTTCACAAATGTTTCCTGTCGTCTTCGTCGAATTAGATGCTAGATTGTTGCTTCTTCCGTCGAAAATATCCGGCCGTGGCGATTCAAAGTTGATGAAGGATGTTCCAAATAATTTGTACCCCTGCTTCCAGTTTGATTACATGAGCATTTTGTGTGGTCGTTGGTTCTGAATATGGACAAACAGGCAGATGAATTCTATTCCTACTCTTTACTGTAATAAGCTTGGTGGCCCTGAAAAGAGCCGTTTTGTTGCCAAAGTTGGTGATGATTTAACCTCCGAAACCAACAGAGTGCGTCTCTGTCACTTTAAAACGTAGATGACATCCATGGCCGCTTACGCTTGGCGTGTTTAGTGTAGGTGACAGCATCACGGATCTCATTTTTAAGAAACACCTTCAGCACACCTCGTGCTTTTTAAGCTATCCAAATTAGGCTTCAGTCCTAGGCTACTGAAATGGATCGAGTCGTACTTATCAAGGCGGACGCAAAAGGTAAGATTTGAAGGAAATCTGTCCACACATGTAACATCTGGTGTGCCACAAGGTTCACATCTTGGTCCATTACTGTTTATTTTATTTGTCAACGATATAGAACATATTTTTAAATTTCTTCATGTTTCTATATATGCTGATGACATGAAACTTTTCATGGAGATATCTAAAGCACCTGATCTTCAAATATTTCAACAAGAAATTGACGTTTTTTACACATGGTGTAAGAAAAATTTGTTAGAACTAAATATTAATAAATGCAATTCTATATCGTTCACAAGAAAGCAAGCTGTAATACACGACACAATTACTCTTGGCCAGAAAACAATCCAAAGATCCTATCAAGTCAGAGACTTAGGTGTTATCCTCGACTCCAAGTTAACTTTTGCTGATCACTACAATAACATTATCTACAAAGCAAGCAACATGCTCGGGTTCATTAAAAGATTTAGTTTGCACTTCAATGATCCCTACACAATCAAAACACTTTACGTAGCATATGTGAGGCCTCTTCTCGAATATTGTAGCATAGTTTGGGCTCCATATCATGATACACATGTAAACCGCATTGAATCAGTTCAAAAGCAGTTCTTGTTGTTCGCTCTAAGAAAGTTGGGTTGGACGAGTTTTCCACTTCCATCTTATGAATCGCGTTGTATGCTAATTAATTTAGATGAGCTCAAAAAGCGAAGAGAGTTCGCAATGATTGCTTTTATAAACGATGTGATTTCGCAAAGAGTTAACAGTCCAGAGATTTTGGAAAATATCAATTTTTATGCTCCCACTCGCTCACTGCGGAATAGAAATTTGTTTAGCATCAACAATCAAAGAACAGACTATGCCAAAAACAGCCCATTGAATAGAATGATGTCTTGCTATAATACATACTGTGAATATATTGACATAACAATGAATAAAAGTACGCTTAAAAAAACTTTCTTCACGAGGTTAGCTAGGCATCAATAATAAAATATAAATGCTATACAAGTAATTGCAGTAAAATTGTAACAATTAGCGTTTAAGTAAAACTGTAAAACGGTCTACACTGATTGACGACTAATAAATAAATCAGACCGGATATACGTCAGACACCACCACGGCGAGCCAGACGGCGTTTGGTTCTGAATATGGCGATGAGTGTGCAAAATATTACGTAATTCCATCCTTCCTATTCGCACGCGCCCGAGGATCGGAGGCGAATGCCATTTCGACTTGTTTCGTCTACTTACTACTCTCTGACGACTGTGCTGGGGAAGCAGCATATGCATGTAGGTAATTGGTGGATTTGTTAGTTAATTCGACGCTTTTGGACAATGCTGGACATTTACCAGTTTTTCAATAGTTTCTTGTTGAAAATCAACATTCGAAAGCATTGTTATCGATGCGTAGCCATATTTCTGATCGATTGGTGATAAAATTATTGAAATTAGACCATGGGCAGCTGAGTTATTAACGATCAAAATCTTTCTTAATTTGTTACATGTTCCATTTTCGGTTTTCACAAAGTGTACCCCCATATAGAAATCAAAGACGTAGTCCTACGTCAAAACTAACCATCTGGTGGATGATGGCACAAGCTTCCAAGAAAATTCTATTACAGTGAACCACATTATTTTAATGGATTTCTTCGCCAGTTAGTCGTCTGTAACTTCGTTTGTGCTTAAAGTGATCATTTTATACGATAGATGAGGAGATGAAGTATGTAGTCATTCGTAAGAAACCGACGATCCAAGTAATTGTTTACGTTTCGAGTTAGACCCTTCTGACATGTTTCCCCTGAGTTGATAGTTCCGGCAGTGTGAAAATTTTATGTAGAGAGTAAAAAGCGAGCAAGGACAAGTGACAAGTGAACGACAACCTAAAGAAATCAGTCAGGGACATTGTCGTTCAGTTTTTTTCCCGGGTACTATTGTTAAACAAGCTAAAATTAAATAAAAACTGTATTTTCCCATACATTTTTAAGCCACTGTATGTGATTTCCCTTTCGCAGACTACAAAATACAGTACATAGCCCTGAAAAAGGGGCCTCCGTTAGCTCAGTTGGTAAAGGCGCAGCTACAAAGCAAGACCATGCTGGAGGTGGCTGGGTTCAATTCCCGGTCCGGTCTAGGAATTTTTCGGCTTGGAAAATTTCTCGACTTCCCTGGGCATAGAAGTATGATTGGACTTGCCACACAATTATACCAATGCAAAACTGGTACAGGCATCGAAAGCTCTCAATTAATAACTGTTGAAGTGCATCTAGAACACTAAGTTGAGAGCACGCAATAAGCTAATATGCGATATGCAATAAGCTTGAAATGCGAAGAAAAAGAAGCCCTGAAAAAAAATTAGAACCCTTATTTATGCAATTAGATGTCACATCCA